AACAAGAGAGAGAGAGAGAGAGAGAGAGAGAGAGAGAGAGAGAGAGAGAGAGAGAGGAAGAGGTTGTAGAGATATGAAAGAATGAATCTGGACCTGAGAAATTTTTTCTTTATTTTAAAACGCCTGGAGCACAAAGGAAAATATATTGCGCCACCCTCTAAAAGAGAGCAAACGAGAAAAACAAAATTAAAACTAGATTCCCCTTCAACCCGTATCAATGTCTCCTCCAATATAGTGCCATTTCAATTATTCAACTTCGATCAAAAGTAATAATTTGAAGCAATCGATATGATGAAAACTTCTACAACAGAGTCATGAAAAAAAAACTACAGGTAAATGGTATTTAGAAATGAGAACAAGTGAAGATATGCCTCCCCTCCGTCCACTTTCATGAATTTGACATCAGTCTTCAGAGAAGTAGCCACAAAAGTTCACCATTGCACAGTGTAATCAAAATAAAGCATGCTGTCACAATAGCATAAAGAAAAATACTCTAATCCACAAAGCCTTAACAATTTCAATATCAACCCCAAAGAAAAGGCGAAGAAGCCACTTGCACCAACACAACAAAGAACATCGGAGTCACAAAAGACTCAAGAATATTTCACAGAGCTATTCCACATTGTTCGGATCTAAATTAAGCACAAAAATCACAATAATATTACACGCTGTAAAGCATACTGGAAATATCCTCTGCCTTGCTCTTCTCCACAACACGAGAGACAATAGGGAATGATTTAATCACAAGAGGAACAAAATACTACACAACACACCTCAGGACGTAAACTCAATACTTTTCATGTTCACAGATGTCTGCACGGCCAATGTCAACGCGTTAAGTCAATAGGACCAAGATAAGAAGATTACTCCAAGGGCAAAAATCGAATAAAAATCGATGAACATTCCATTTGACAACATTTCTCAAAGATCTCTGAAGGATCACAAAATGGAAAAAAAAAACAATTGAATTATAGTATCTATAACGAAACTGTTTGGGGTTTTTTAGTCCCCTGACATAATAAGACATGTACGCACTACGACACGGAGAAATGTCCCAAAACAGTCTCGTTGCTGGGAACATAATATTATATCTACCTCCCTCCCTGACACAACATCTGCCACAAGTTGGCACAAAACAAACACTGAGTTAATCCCATAACGGGGAAAATTGGGCATGGGGAGAGCAAGAGGGGGGGGGGGGGGGAGAAAGAGAGAGAAAGAGAGAGGCAGGGGAGGCGAGGGTGGAAAGAAAACAGTTGTAAAGAATAGCTTTTTGTATGTTTGAGATGACTGAGAGGGATTCAACATCCCAGCAGAAATCCTCCCCTTATGGGAACCCACTTACACCTTCTGCATGTGACGGCAAAGCACCTTACAACTACACCACAGAAACCCGCAAACCCACTTTTGCCAAGAAAATAAAAAGGACACAGCAATGCTTAACAGAGGCAGAAGAAGCAGATCCCACGTCAGAGCGACATTACCTTCTTGCGATATACGGAGAATAACGTAGCAAAAAGACAAATGACATGTTTATTTATACAAAAACCGGTAAGGGTTAACGAGCAATCATTGATACTTTACTGAGGAGTTCAACTAAATACAAACTAGTCTGACAGAAAACACAGAAACATTAGAGTAAGAACACCAGAGGGATACAGACAGTTTTTGGTAAGAGTTTTACGGCATTTCCAACACAATTAGGTCATATAAGTGCAGAAGATTAGAGGTGTTACAAAATAGTAATAAAACAAAAATGGGGGCGAGATAAGGATGATAGATATTTGATAGGACAGGAGGAGCAAACCACACCAGAGCACCCGCCAACCACCCACGTATACAGACGGGCGAGCATGTACACAAGCAAAGTAGACACATAGAAAGCAGGCTGGTTGGGAAACAAATGAAAAGGCAGGGGGAGGGGAGGGGAGAAGACTGACAACCTAACACATAAACAGGCAGGCATACAAATTAACACAGAGTAAGGCCGGGAGGTAGAAGACGGACAAGCTGTCGAACGGATAATGAACAGCTCGATAGATGGGTGGATTGATCTTGTGGGCGCAAGCAAAAAACTATTTAAAAGAAACAAACAAACAAACAAAAAACAAACGAACAAACAAACAAAGAAACAAAACAAAACAAATATTTTAAAAAAAGATACATCAAAGTGAAAATAGCATAGTACAGTGAGTTTAAGCATGTTTTTCATGGTTGTTATTGCATGTCTTGAACTGTCAGCTTCGAAAAGAGGGTAGATTTATAACACTCCCCCCCCCCCCTTTTTTTTTCCCCTTTCCATAAACAAAGAGAAAAAGAAAGTATCAATGTCTTGCATAAAAGTGCATAACAAAATAAATACGATTATTAAATTCGAAAGTCCAGCTTTCGGTTGGTCAACTTTGTGAAACTTACCGTACATATCAGCGACAGTCATCACCATCATCGTTCAATACAATATCCACTCGAATAAATCAGTAGTTAACGAGACAGAAATCTCGGCCACACTCCAGCGGCTCAAACACACAGGAGCAAGAAGAAAATGTCCAGTTCAGTACTCCGGGTTAGAGAGATCAGTCTCTGAGTTTGATATTCACAACACTTTCAGGCATCCTCTTGGCTCAGAAATCTACAATTGCAGTACCATTCACTGGTAAGAAAACGCAATCAAAACAACCTAAATTGGAAGCTTGAAGGTTGACAAACGATGTGTAATCTTGTCTTTTCCTAAACAGAACTAACACGATTCGGTTTTATTAAACGAGCAAGAAGCACATTGACACGATAACGGTCATTAAGCGAACGGGTAAAGCAAGAAAGAAACGACAGGGTAAAAGTACAACATGAGGGCCAGCTGTTTTAGACTGGTATTAGGCCCAAAATATTTTTGGCATTCCGGGTTTAGACTAACCAAAACAGCTTTCCGACAAGAAGTAGGATCTACCACGGACGCCCTACAGCCACAAAACAGAACTGGAAACTTGTTCAATAAGGTAGTAAAAACCTAAATTAATCAAACAATTACACTGAGAATGATGTTTAAAGTCATCAACTAACTGGAATAAGAGTCGGTCCGTTTCATTTAGTCCCAGTGTCCGCTATATGCACAAATACCGCGACGCCAAAACGCAATAAAACGTAATGTGACGTCCCATGGACTTATGTCACGACTGGGTTCCACTACACGTGTACGTGTCAAGTACCCCAATGAAAGTCTAACCCGAAACCTTTCTCAATAAGAATGCACATTATAACCATGCCATAGGACGCAGTCGCATATTTGCTCATCTCTCGGCAAACAGCACTGACGATGCGACGGTCAAACATGCAGCATAATGCTAAAGGGAAGATCTAACAGGATCAATAGAACCTTTACGTCCTCTTCTCAGGCAAATATCCCACCAGGAAAAAGGCAGAGTAGCATGTCAATGTAGGTTATTTTGTGTACTTCGGACTACCAGAACTAAGACTGTCGGTTCAATTCCCTCGTATAACGGGGAGATCTTTTAAGAGGTATGAAATCTTCGGCGATGCTATCTTTTTTTTTCCTCACGTAGGACGGTGACAAATACTTGAGGAGTCATTTCAAAATTCTCTAAACAACACGAATTGAAGTGAAAATGAAAAATGTCTGTACTGGGATTCAACTCATGGTCAACAGCACTACAGTGAAAAATATCACTAACTCAAAACAAAAATGTACCTAGATTATACCAAAAACACAAAAAAGGAAGCTTCCGCAGAAATGGCGGGTTTTCTTTGACACAAAAATCCACACACAAAACAGCCATCAAATACAATTATATGTTATATTCCATCCGATAACTCTTGACATATTTCACTGTTTAACATAGACTCCTGTGTGCGCATGAATAGTGAATGTGGGTGTTTAACGCCTCTATATTAATAATCTAGACCATTCACAAGGCGTGCAGTTCTATTCTGCACATTTAAGCCAACCGAATATCACAACAATGAAACAAGACGGAGATACATTGAACAAATAGCTTGACTTGATGGGAATAAAACTTGGTGCTCTGAAGTGAAAGTCTACATCCCAAACCAGCTCGTCACAGACTCTGATATAAATCCTTGGAAATAAACGACGACTATGCAAACAGCGAAACAAGGGAAAGAACATTATGGCAAACCACAGCTCCAAACATCTAGCCAGAAAAGAAGAATCAGCCTATTTTGTTGGTAACAAACAACTCCAAGGACATTTCTAAAAACCATTCTTCCACCACCTCTTCTCCAACCCCACGGACAATCCCACCCCCCCCCACACACACACACACACACACACACACACACACACACACACGCTCTCACACACACACACACACACACCCACACACACAAAAAGAAATAATAAAACGGACATTCTAAATCCATCACCCCTCCCCCGGCCCCACTGACATCTCCAAAAACAACACCCCGACCCCTTCCCTGCCTTCCTCCAAAACGGACATTTTCCAAAACAATCAAAGCGTATCCT